CACCTTTCTGATCTGCAAAGACACCAAGCTCATTTCTGCTTTAGAACCTTGGCACCGGTGCTTCCCTATGCCTTGCTCTGATCCTTGCACAGATAACTCCTATATGTTTTTCAAGTCTCCAAGCCACCTCCTCTGTGTGGCTTCTCCTTACCACCCTCTTTTGACTCAACCCAGCCTTGTCATTCAGCAAAACCTCTGAGATAAGCATGCTCCTAGACTCATAAGTAAACCCATCTCTTGAAAAATTACAAGATATGGGACATCCAGTAGTTATATTTCTGTTAATGTTTCAAGTTGGCCACATGTCAAATTCAACTAAATATTTGCTAACCACCTTCTATGAATAAAGCAGTGTGGGAAATAAGGTGGTCCTACTCTAACCTTCTTAAAGCTTCTACTGGTGTCCTGGTCGTAATGATGCCAGTACCAAAAAGGCATTCCCTGAAATCTGTAAGGATTCTAACATGTTCTCCCTCAGCCCATCACTATCTTAATTATTTTTTCCCCACACATAGTCTGTAGAATGTGAAATCCCATATAAGAGCTCACATGTACGTGTCTTCAGGGTGTTTAACTTGAGTTCTGGGCCTGAGGGTAACTTTGGTACCTCTCCCTGTCACACGCTGTTCACCCTCTCTCCTTGGCATCTTTGAAATACATGACCTCGATCATCTTTCTAGTACAAGCTGTCCTCATTTGTTCACCAAACACGGTCCATGTGTCCCACATGGCCTGATAACACCCTGCTTTTTCTGTGCTTTCTTTCTGCCTCCAAAGCGAACAGAGTGTATCCAGCCACAAGTGCATTTAAAGGGAGACAATTTGAGACTCAGCCTCGAAAAACAGGCACTGATCCGGTTTGCTCTTTAGCCAAGAGTAAAGACACAGGTACAAGGTGCCACTCATTCGAACTAGAGCCAACAGAGAAGAGATTTACTGATGGGGCTCTATTTCTTCATCTATGCAATGAACAAGACAGACATGATGATCTAGATCTAGGAGATGAAGTCACTGGCAAGACCTTTTCAAACTCAGAGAGGGCTTCGATGATCTCCAGCATTTTCTCTATACAGGGCTCTGCTGACCCACAACTACTTCAAATTCCTAGGGCGCAGGCCTCTCGTTTCAAACAATGAGGATGAATACTCACTTTGGTCCACTCAAGGCCATCATAATGGAGTAGACTGATAAAACGTCACCACACCAAAACCTCCCCACCAAAACAAAACCAGAAGGACTTGCTCAGTTAGGAAGACCATACCATAGTTGATACCAAACATGTCACAGCCAGGCCTTCAGCAAGCTCTCTACCTTATATTTCATTTTCATACTGAAGAGCAAAGTCAATCCCACCTATTCCCCAAAACAGAAAGGTATTTTGGAAATGGAACTATACGACTCTCTCAGAGGAATAAAATTCAGCTAAGAATTCTTATAGAGCAGCAATATCACAAGACAAAGGCAGGAGAGCCACTTAGACCCCCATCCCCTGGTGTCTTTAGACCTGGCCACGCAGACCTCAACCATCATTAGGGATTTGAAATAGCTGAACGTCAGTCTAGCCTTGCATGGAGAAAATACTTGAGATCATGAACCCACGCGGTCCTGGCTTTGTCATCAAGTCACTCCTGTCTTACCCAGACCACTCTGCAGAGACACTTTCCCTTTGGAAAGAATGGGAGTGGGCAGACCTCGTTTCTTTCTAACCATGCTTAGCCCTGCACACCAATGGGGCAGGGCTAGGGTTTCAGAGACCGCCAGTCAACACTTCCTCCTCCCTATGCCCTTCCCAGAAGATACTGTATACACTCCCATTCTCCCAGCCTGATTAACCTGATTAATGTTTATTCAGGCTTAGTGAACAAGAAACTCAATACATACGCCTCACAAAGGGGGTGAAGAGAGAAAGCAAACAAACAAGTGTTTCTATGATATAGAACTTCAGTTACTCACATAAGCTTATGCCTCACTGTAGAATATTTTAGTAAAGATGCCAGATAAACCTTAGCTAAACGACAATTTCAAATCCTGCTTCAAGTACAAATATATATTAAGTACTAATATACCTGCCACGTGTAAGAACAAAGTAATTATACCGTAATATCCCAAGACGGTGTATGCATCAGATTTTCAGTCTGGCAACGTTAAGAAAGGATTTTGAATGAAGACTATGTCGGTATAAGAGATAAATTTGGGGCGCCGGGTGGCTCAGTGGGTTAAAGCCTCTGCCTTCAGCTCAGGTCATGATCCCAGGGTCCTGGGATCGAGCCCCGCATCGGGCTCTCTGCTCAGCAGGGAGCCTGTTTCCTCCTCTCTCTCTGCCTGCCTCTCTGCCTACTTGTGGTCTCTGTCTGTCAAATAAATAAATAAAATCTTAAAAAAAAGAGAGACATAAATTCAAAGACACCCCGGGGATTGTAAAATTTTATTTTTGTTTACAAAAATAGATACTATTAAAATAAGTAAACCAAAATATTCTGGCTCATTTAAAGCAAGTTAGGATGCCTTTTTTTTTGAGATGTAATTGACAGACAACATTATATTAGCTTCAGGTATACAAAATAAAGATTTATATATATCTTGTGAAACGATCACCGTAAGACTAGTTAACATCCATCACCACACATGCTTATAAATTTTTCTTTGATAAGAACTTTAAGATCTACTCTCCCAGGAACTTTAGAATATATAATGTAGTATTAACTATAGTCACCATGCTGTGCACGGCATCCCATGACTTACCTATTACTGATAACAGGAAGTTCATACCTTTCGACTCCCCTGACCCATTCCACCCACCCCCAACCCCAGAATGCCTTTCCACACTTGTTTCAGCCACAGAATTAAATATGCCATGTGTGGGTCTCATTAAAAAGCAAAACAAAACAAATAAACCCAATGTAATAGAGGAAAATGAGTAGGAAATTTGTGACAATCAGGAGCCATGGTTTTCAGCCTCAGTTCCAATAAACACCAATAAAATTGCCTCCAGCTAATGATGTCACCTGTGAGTTTTATCCTTATCATCACCATAACTACCATCATTTCCACCTTACAGATAAGGAAATTCATACCATTTCCCAGCCCATTGTGAGATCCACACCCAAGCCTGTCTTTGAAAGTGTTTTATTATCAGCTTTATAGAGTACACATGAGACAATGATTCATTCTAGCAGGAAAATTTTCCATTGTCCACAATTTAACATGTATCAAGAGCCTTAAAAGGTTCATACCTGGTGAAACAAAATGGAACACAGGTTCCATATATGGAATTGGTCATATTATTCTCTTTGCTTCTATTGTATGTTTGAAATTTCCCATAAGGGTTTTTTTTTTCAATTTTTATAACTAGTTGATTCATTACTTTTTACTCCTTAAGGTGTGGAATATTTTCATATTGCCATGTTTTTTCTGGTTTTCCATTTTTATAACCCAAAGTTCTCTGATGAGTTCCTCTCAAGAAATTCTTGTCAATCCTTACCCCGATCCTTCTTAAAGGAGTGCCTTAGATCTGCTCCCAAAAATAGAACAATAAATCAGAGGTCTCCTTTGGGAAACAGGAAGAGGGGCTACTTGGGATGTTCAACACAGCGCAACATAATGTTTTCTGTTGGTCAGGAAGCCTGACACTTTTCTCTCACAGGTGTCACACTGTAAGAGTCCCTGTAGCTGTCCTCTCAAAGGTCTAAGGGCAGGCTTGGGTAGTTTCTAGTGCAGGCATTAAAGCATCTGATCCCATCCTTACTCTGCATTTAGAATGTGGGGTTGGAAATCATTTGTCCTCACAGCGCCTATCTTTTCTTGTCCATTGCTGCTAGCAAAGCCATTCTGATTCTTATTCCATTGTACATCTCCTCCATCTCCCTCTTTCTTTAAAAGCTTTTAAAATCGTATAACTTTCATTCTAAAATTGTACAGTGATACGCGGTAGGTTGGCTCTCTTCATTACTTTTGCTGGGCAATCAGCATGTCTTTTTCATTTTATTTTATTTTTAAAGGATTTTATTTATTTATTTGAAAGAGAGAGAATGAGAGACAGAGAGAGAGCATGAGAAGGGGGAGGGTCAGAGGGAGAAGCAGACTTCCTGCTGAGCAGGGAGCCCAATGCGGGACTTGATCCTGGGACTCCAGGATCGTGACCTGAGCCAAAGGCAGTCACTTAACCAAATGAGCCACCCAGAAGCCCAGCATGTCTTTTTAACTGAAAACTCACATCCTTCAGCTCTGGAAGATTTTTTTGTATTATCTCTTTCACAAGTTCCTTCCATCAGTCTTTTTACTTCTCTCAGGAACTCTTATCAGACAGATGCTGAACCTTCAAGAGTAATCCTCTATATCTCTTACCATTCTTTCACATTTTCAGTATTTTTGCTTTTTTTTTTTTAAGATTTTATTTATTTATTTGACAGAAAGAGAGAGATCGCAAGCAGGCAGGCAGAGAGAGAGGAGGAAGCAGGCTCCCTGCTAAGCAGAGAGCCCAATGCGGGGCTCGATCTCAGGACCCCAGGATCATGACCTGAGCTGAAGGCAGAGGCTTTAACCCACTGAGCCACCCAGGCGCCCCAGTATTTTTGCATTTTTGTTCTACTTTCTAACTATTTGGTTTCCTTTTTTTACTTTCCAAGATTTCCTCAACCTCATCTTTCAACTTTCCTCTTCAATTTCATCTCAGACAATCAGATTTTAACTTCCAAGAGCTCTAATTATCCAAATGTTCTTTTTTCACAGTATCCTGGTCTTGTTTAGTAGATGTTTTACCTCTATGAACTCTTAGTGAATATTAAAAGTTTCCTCCACACTATTTTTCTTCATTTAATTCTCATAACTTGGTTTACCGTGTGCTCTATTTATATGCCTATGAGGTGAGTCCACATGTATGATCCTGCCCACCCTGAAAGAAGGAAACCTGTACCACATGCCAATAGGCACCAATAAATTTTTTTCTGGAAGTGACTAAAACAAGGAACGTACCTAAGTGCGCAAGAAGTGAGCCAGCTTACCTTCATAGAGTCAGAGTATAAAATATATTCCCTGAGCACAGGTAGGAAGTCTTCTGTCATGTCGTCTGTCAGCTCTTCCAAGGCTGTCGAGCAGTTGCCGATGCAAGCTGACACCCCCTCCAGAGGCTCAGCCAGCTCCCCCTCTAATGCACTCCACGTGGAGTACACAGGCCCATATTCTCGCAGCTCTACAAGGTACTCTATAAAAGAAGAACAGAAACTAATTAAGACTTGGTGGGTAATTAAGACAATCCCTGGTATTACTGACTCAGTAAGAACTGTAGCCAAGAGCTCTCTAGAGCAAGATGTTATTTCCTTGGTCAGTCACTCACCAAAGCATGCTCTCCTTTAAACATAACATTGTTTATAATTTTTTAAAAAATCTCTATAAACCCAGCATTTTCTGGTTTCTGATGTTATGAAACATCACCTGACTTCACCCCATAATGGGAATGCCATGCTTCTGGATAATGGGGACCACAGTGCCTTCTGGGGGAAGTGGGAGGAGCTATATCCACTGCATGTCTTCAAAAATACCCACTCACCTACTCATACAGCACAGGGAACCAGGGCAAATGTTGATTTATTTCCCCTCCAGAGAAAATCTAGCCCATATTTGTCACCAGGATTCTCTTTTTTTTTTTTTTTTTAAGATTTTATTTATTTGTCAAGAAAGAGAGAGACGGAGAGAGCACACAGGGGGAGTGGCAGGCAGAGGCAGAAGCAGGCTCCTCGCAGAGCAAGGAGCCCGATATGGGACCCGATCCCAGGACTCTGGGATCATGACCTGAGCTGAAGATAGATGCTTAGCCAACTGAGTCATCCAGGCGTCCTATCACCAGGATTCTTGTCATTACAAAAAACACGTTGTTGTCATTTTTTAGTAACCAATGGATGGCAACTACGGGAGAATCCCTTTAGGTGTGTTTCACATCTTGTGCCAGCCAGCAGGATCATTGACATTGTTCCAGTTTCTCTGGCCTACATGTGTGTAAGAAGACGAAAGGCCCTAATGTTCTGGGATACAGAAAAGCAGGTGACCACAAGAGGGGTGGGGAGGGAGTGGTGGCAACAACCCGGAAGGTTCTAGAAAGGTTTCATAACTCCCCAGGTCAGGAAGAGTGGGCCTGAAATGAAGCAGGGGTGGGGCAGGTGAGTCAATTGCAAGTTGAAGTCTCAAAAGAACCACCACTTTGGCAGACACGGGTCTCTACACTGTCCTTTTAAACCATCTTTCTGCCAGAAAAGGTACCAAAGTTTGTTTTTTAAATTATTGTTCCTATGAATGATGGGAAGTTGACTTAATGTCTTCACTTTTAAAGCTAAAGTTGAGAGAGAGAAGGGAAATGCTTCGGGGCTGAGAAGTGGCTGTATGCCATCGGGAAAGCAAACACAAGGCTGGCGAGCAGGGCGAAGGAGGGAGCACAAAATTACTATCCTCTGGTCATGACGAACCCCTCCCCCGCTCATGCTCGTGTATTAGTTTTGTAAGCGTGGCCTCATTCTGTCAGGCCAGTGTTTCTGCGGCTGGATTCTGCTGAGCCGAGGGGAATGCCATTCCCACACACATGCTCCCTGGGCGTGATCAGTGTCTGCAAGGAGGGCTCACCTATTTCTTCTTTGATGATCCTCTGAGCTATCCGGTCAATGGTTCCCAGTTTGAGCGCAAATGTATCTAAGTAGTCGCCGATGGCTGCGAACTCAAGAGGTCGACTCCTCAGCTTGTAGCCTCCGGTGACATGCTTGACGGACTCGCCCACTCTGGTCAGCAGGGCCATCCCCTGCTTCTTGTAGGCGTTCAGGTCCTAAGGAGGACACATGAACAGAGAGTCTCAAGGGGCTCCATCACGCCCACAGCCGGGACTCGGTCAAACCAACTGCTTTGGGTGGTTTCCTCTTGGAAGTGGTAGATATCGAAAACAGGAGCTGAGTCAGAGGACTCACCATGTACACCACCGTCCTCTCCCCTCACCGTTGGAAACACCAAAAGCTCACCCCTGAACCCTTTCTCCAGAGCCAGACTCCTACCTTTATAATCTGGCTCACTCACCTGAGTGCATTCTCCTGCAAACTCAACACTAATTCTAACATGATGCTTTAAAGCCTCTGACTGGAAGAAAAAAAAAAAAAAAAGATGAAGTCCCTTACTCTCATACAAAATATCCTAAGTTATCTTTAGGAGGAAAATTCTAGAGCTGAAGTTCATTCCATTCATTTATTTATATCCCAAGCAAAGCCATATACAGAAAGGAGGGAGAAGAGGGCAGAAAGCAGGAAACAGTGACAGAAAAAGCAAGGCAAGAAAAGCCAAGGCAGGGAGAGGTGCTGTAAACAACACAGCACTTAATCCTGAACGTCTTGGTCAGGGCACGCTTGGGAAATCTGCTGAGCTACACGATCCATTGTACCTAAATTTAAAATGCGTATCAGTCTGCCAGGTCAAATGAACGTCCTCTTGTCCTCCAACTCCAGGAGGAATCTACGGCACCTTCACATTGTTTGACATCACTTCCTTAACGGGGCCTTCAAAAGTGGTTCTACAGAAGATCGGGCGTCTGCTCCTTATATCCACCATCAACACACACAGAACAGGAATTCCTGGTCTGAGCAGAGCACGTTTACAGACAGATAAGGGAACGAGGCACAAGGCCATTGCTTTCTGGTCACCCTGTCTGGTTTAGGGATGGAGCTGAGAAGAGGGAATCACGCTTAACCCAGATGACTGGCAGCCCCCTCCCATTTGACGACCACAACCACAGGCTCTGGTCTCCACAAGTGTCTGAAGGGTAGACCACTCCTGATTTCACTTCCTCCTTCCTTAGGCAGCCGAGGCCTTCACTTTGACTTCTGATTCCACTCTTTCCTAGCTACACCTCGCTGACAAGCAAGGCCCCTGCCCATCAACTATTCCTTCTCCTGCCTACATCTTCAACGTCTAATCCTTCAGTGGTGATACACACCCAGGGCTCGCCCAGCTTCACAACAGCAGCAATTTCCTCCGGCTCCCCTCCTCCATTTCTCTTCTTCCTTTCAAAGTCAGGCTACCTGGCTTGAGAGAATGTTCTAAAGATTCCATCTCCCCTTCTAGCCTCATGTACCCTAGACAAGCAAACATCCCTGTAGACACCTGGCTTTTACAAGATTGTAATGGAAGCCTTGCCATTACTGGCATTGCTTCCACAGTGTTGTTTGGAGCACGGCTAGATCCAAATGGGCTCGCTGGACTGCGGAGGCTCTATTCCAAGTAGAGGCTGACAAGAGAACCCCCTGTTAACCAAGTCAATACGCTGAATGGGGTTACTTGGTATGCCTCTCTCACTGCTGCACCCATTCTGCCAAAGATGAAAACACTGATCTGAACGCAGGCGGTACTGAGCGTCCCCCCACCTCTCCCAGCATTACTGGCTTCTTCCAAAGACACTCCTGGTTTGTGATAACATCAGGTTATCACGAGAAGGAGGAATGCTTCTGCCTTCACTGTGGCAGAATATGTCAAGGCCTCACCTAAGAACAGGACCACATTACTCAAGGGGTGTTAGAAGATGGGGAACCCAGGGAGGGGGAGATGGGGAGCTCCGGTGGTATCACAGAGCACAGGAGAGCACCACGTTTCGGTTTCACAAGATGAGAAAGTTCTGGAGATTAGCTGTGAATATACTGAATATTGGTTGTGAATATCTTAAAATGGTTAAGAAGGTAAGTTTTTTACGTATTTTACCACAATCTAAAGGAAAAAAGAAAAAGATGGGGTTATTTAGTACATTCAGTTGAGCAAGTAATACTGAACTAGGCTAGGTTTGTTCTGTGTTAGAGCCAACACCCCAGCACTCACTCACGGGAAGTTGGACTGTGCTTAAGACACTGAAGGACTTTTTTTTTTTAAATCATTTATATGGCCTACAGATAAATACCACACACACACACACTTTTCCTCTCTAACCTCCACACAGATTAATGACCTGGGGCCTACCAGGTCTACAGCCTGAACCGTGCATGAGGCTCGCTGGAAAATTGGATGGATTTTACTCTGTGTTAAGAACTGTATCTGAGGTTCTGCTCACCAGGAAATACTTATTTTGAAACAGAACACAAGTCTGATGTTGTTGGGGGGTGGGAATGGGCCTCTAGGAAAAAAGAGATGAATGGGAAGATCATCGATGGGGCTTAAAAAAAATGTCAATGGTGGTTTAAAAAAAAAATACTAAAGGACTTTGCCATGTGGTTTCCATTGTCTGGAGAACAACACCCTCCCTAAAATCTTTAACGTCAGCTGATAGTATCTGCAAATATTTCTCAATTTTGCCATTCTGAAAAAAGAAAACTGGGAGGTCCTTGAGCCTCAACACCCTTGCCAACATGGAACAGAGCACCCGTGGCCCGAGGATAGGAATGTGATTCACGAAGGTAAACAGACGTGGCTACAAGGAGCTGGCATGAGAGTCTGGGCCTGAGATCCCATTTCTGCAGACATTTAGGGCAGAGCACCTCTGACTTCCTGCCCGTTCCGCCAAACCTGGAGTGCACACAGAAGCCAGGGAATGACCAACCTGGGTATGAACACACAGAACCTGGCAACTGTGTGGGATCCAAACGTTTCTCTGGCAAATGCTTGGAAAATGCCCACCCAATAGGAACGTGGCCGTGGGCAAGTAGCTGAGCTCATCGTGGTGGGGCTAATACAGAGGAGAAGTGTGGCTTCCAAAGCCATACAGACCCAACCTCAAATCCTAGTGATGCCCCTTGAACATGTACCAAATCCTTGAACTTCAGTTTCCTCATCTGTAAAATGAGGTTACAAGTCAGCTCTCACAGGGTTCCTGTGAAGAACCATCCTTACCAAATCACTCACTAGATGTTCTTTCGCTCTGTTCCTTCAGCACACTGTTGGTCAGAGTGGTCTCAATGCGCCAAGTGTTTAAGGAAACACTTACCCCTCCTTCCGGTGAGTGGGAATACTCTGTCTTCCCCTGCTGCTACAAAGGGGTGTTTCTCCTGAATGCTACACATGGAAACCATGCTGATGCAAATGGACTCCAAAACACAGAGCAATTCAATGACACCCACTGTAGTGGGCCATTCATGAAGGTGGTTTGTGAGAGATCAAAGTAGCTTCCGAGAAAGCCCAAAGAATCCTAATTTGGGGGAGGAATATGAACAATTCTGTTCTTACCTTAGCAGTAAGGAAAACATTGAAGTGTTCATTGAAAGAGAGCACGGGATGGTCTGTAATTCTTTTTAGGAATTTATCCAAAGCTTTTCTTCTGGTCTCCACAAACTCTTCTGAAAAACGATCTACAACACCTTTCACCACAAACTTCTCAGGAAGCGGCTACAAAGATAGGAAGAAAAACATTCAGAGTACTTGATACGACAGTGGAAAGAAAAGCCACAGGCTAGCAAACAATTCTGTCCAAGAACAGACTCCCTATTCGGTTGGAATTTTACTTAGTCATCAGTATAAACCATCCTGAAACATACAGGTGGAGTAAATCACAGCTACCCTTCTCGGCTTTATAATAACCCAAGAAGTAAAATGCTAGGGACCAGCCCCTGGTCAGGAAACAGTCAGTCAATGTGTATCCAGTAAATCCAATATTGGTCCCTTTGGCAGCACATATACTAAAATTGGAACAATACAGAGATTAGCATGACCCCCGCACAAGGACGAGTGTAAATCCTATGGTCCAGCTATCTGTACATTGCTTAAGGCACACGTGGTATAATGAGAAAGTCAGGGCCAGAAAGACAGTCTAAGGAAAGAAGGCAGACAACATTAACCCCACAAAAATGCATTTAAATAGATTCACATTCCAACCCCAGCTCAAGGGGTGAAAGAACTTGGTGTATGGAGGATGAAGTACATTGGGCAAACCTACGTATCTAAAAAATACCTTTTCCAAGCCCATCTTTTGCCTAGGTTTACACTCAAAAGTTCTTAAAAATGTAATTTCCTTTGCTCCTCTTACTCAAACAAATGTCTCCATAATGTTGGCTTCAAGGCAATACTGCGGGCAATTTAAAACTACCTGGTTACTAAGGGATCTTTGAGCTTTGACCTATTTCCAAAGTAGCTTCATTAAATGCTTGATTAAAAGTTCTTCCTCATTACTACCACCAGAGACAGAGAGAGAGATTATCTACTAGTGTGTAATTTGAACATGTTTGGTGATGAAATATTAAAAGAACATTTACATTAAAAATTGGGCAAACAATTGGTAGATATTTTTCCAAAGATCTACAAATGGCTAACGAGCACCTGAAAAAATGTTCAACATCATGAGTCATTAGGGAACTACAAACACAAACCACAGTGAGATACCAGTCCACACCCATGAGGATGGTCAGAATAAGGGGGGAAGAAAGAAACAAAAGCCAAACAAAGAACAGAACAATTATAAGTGAGGATGAAACAAGATTTAAGTCCACAACCTCCTTCAGCCCCATATTCTGGCAAGAAAGAGGTCTGTTTCTTTTATTTTTTTTAAATATTTTTATTCATTTATTTGAGAGAGAGAGAAAGAGAGAGAGAGCAGGGGCAGAGGGAGAGGGAGATCTGGCAGCCCGATGTGGGGCTCGATCCCAGGACCCTGGGATCATGACCTGAGCCAAATGTAGACGCACAACTGAATGAGCCACCCAGGGGCCCTGATTCATTTCCTTTAAATTATAAGCCTTCAAGCGCACATACATGCACACGAAAACAGACACAGGGACGTCACCAACCCGAAGAAGTGGAATCCTAAGGTACGTGGAGTAGAGAAATCAAGAAGCGATCCCAACCTAGAACCCATTCAAAGATTTGGAGACTGGCTCTATCAACAGCCCTGGAATGAAGCACTTGGAAGAGCTCTGGAAAGTCAGGATGTTTTCCATCTCCAGAAGAGAGACCGTGGGCTCACTCTTTCTCCTTCTGACAAGCTGTCTGTCTTCGGTCAAGTTCTACAATCTCCTGGTACCTCAGATTCTTCTTCGTTTGCAAAAAATAGGTAACAATAGTGCCAGCTTGTCAGGGTTGTCACGAGTATTAATTTAGCTACAAGGCTGAACATGTTTCCCATAATTCCTGCCACAGAGAAGCGCCAACAACAGTGTGGGGAGGGGTCTTTGCTGTAGGAGGGGCAGCAGCTTCGGGAACTACTAATCTTCGGGGACAGCCATGTCCAGTTACATCTTGAGATGGTGGCAGGGTGCAGAGAAGAGGCTACAATGACAGGTTTCTTTTTACCAGATTGGGAGTTCCAGAGGGCATGGTGGAAAGGTGTGGAAATGAAGAAAGAGAGGGGAGCAGAGTCAGGAATACGATTACAGAACCCCACGGAGACAACACATCCAACTTAAGGCGCCTGGCAGAGCTTACATCTGGGGAGAATATTAGAAATGGGTCCTGGGTCAGATGCACAGGGCCATCCAGCCCAGTGTTCTGGCCCCGTCAAAAGCACCAGGGAATCTGTCTTAATAGGGTATGGTTGTTCTTTAGGATGACTTCTTTGTTCTCATCAGTTCTCCCATTCCCTTAGGAATTCTTCTTAAACCCTACACTCAACCCCCAACCTTTCACACGAAGCACAGCACCACTTCTCTGACAGAGAACCAGGTGTAAGGTGTAAGGGCATCACATACACATTTCCTAACCATTTTGCTTCCTCCACAGAAACCCATCTCCTCTCCATTTCTCAGGTCCCTGTGGACAACATACCCCACCCCCAACACACCACAAGGCTAACTCTTCTGTGTCTTTGCCCCATTAGTTCACTAGCATGCACGTGCTCTCATCAATTAATCATACCTTCTTTTCCCTGTATTTTCAACATTTCCTCCTCACCCGGCTCTGTTCCTGAGTCTACAAATACATAGTTGGTTCTCTTTCTACCAAAAATAATAAACTCAAATATCCCTTGACCTTACATCTTCTTCTCCACTCTCCTTTGGGGCTCACTCAACCTTCCTGAAAGAATCACTTATCTTAACTTCTACTCCTTCTATCGATGTCTCAACCCCCAACCTTCCTCCACCCCAAAACAAAGCTGTCTTTGGTTCTGCCTTCGAATGCTGCATTTCTCTGCCTTGTCCCTACCCACTGCAGACCACTCTTTTAAAGACGGCCGATGGCTTTCTAATGACCAAATCCAGTGGATGTTTTCCTGCTCTTTACTTCATGAGTCCTGGGGAGCATGCTCTGGTTTGCTTATGCTGAATAGGACTTGGGAGGAAAGCCTAATGAGCAAATAACTGGTGAGGTGTGCCTCATTTAACAGAACAGATAATCTCCTGAAATAGTCATTCATTCTTCAGGCTTAGTACATTGAACTTTAAGTTTAATGAATCAGGGAAGCTTGCTATTTAAAGGAACCCCGGGGTGAATCCTTCTGCAAACAGAATTTCCTTCTAAGCATTATTATGCCCAAATGTACATGGCTTCGGAAATTTGTTTCTTCCTATTTCGAGCCTTAAAGGGGACACGGCTCCTCTCAGTGTCACCTTTATAATTACCTTCTGGTTTCTTTATGCATAGGAATCTGGGTTGCTGATGAAATCAGGGCCTCTCTGGACTGTGACTGAGCTGTTGCAAGTGAAGGGCTCAGCACAGCTCCAAGCACATGGTAGACGCCACAGGCATGCCAGCTGTTTTTATGACCCTGTAAACACCGAGAACGAGAAGGGGAGTGGACCAAAGGGTAGAATTTCCATACATCTTTGAGGCCAAAATTTTTTTTAAGAACCCTCTGGGATACATACCTTTTCACACCCACTAGGATGGCTATAAAAGAAGAAGAAAAAAAAAAAGCAAGTACGTGGAGAAATTGGAAACCTCTTCCATGGTTGGTGAGAATGTAAAATGATGTGGTCTCTGTGGAAGACAGCTTGGCGGCTCCTTAAAAAATTAAGTGTACGGGGCGCCTGGGTGGCTCAGTGGGTTGAGCCTCTGCCTTTGGCCCAGGTCATGATCTCAGGGTCCTGGGATCGAGCTCCACATCGGGCTCTCTGCTCGGCAGGGAGCCTGCTTCCCCCTCTCTCTCTGCCTGCCTCTCCGCCTACTTGTGATCTCTCTCTCTCTCAAATAAATAAATGAAATAAAATAAAAATTAGGTGTAAGATTAGCATAGGATCCAGAATTCCATTCCTTGGCACGCAGCCCAAGTAACTGAAAGCAAGTGTTCAAAGACTCGTACAATCAACGTGCGAATAGCATGATTTATAATAGCTGGGTGGGGGAAAGGGGGAATGAGAAGTGACTGCTTCGTGAGTATGGGAGTCTTCTGTGAGGGATGAACATATTCTGGAATCACATGGGGTGCTGACTGAAAAACATCGTGAATGCACCAAAAGCCACAGAGTTGTACACTTCTTAAAATGGCAAATTTTACGTTATTCGAATTTTACCTCAATTAAAAAAAAAAAAAAAAAGCTGTGGTGACAGAAGCAAATGTCAGAGAGGAGAGAAGACTCTGTGCTGCCAGCTTTGAAGATGGTGGAAGGCGCCATGAGCCACGGGAAGCGGGAGCTTCTAGAAGCAGGAAAAGTCAAGGAACCACGTCCCCCCAGAGCTCCTATGGGGAATGCAGCGCAGGGATATTAATCCACCGAGACCAATTCTGGACTCCTGACCTCCAGAATATAAGGTGATGAAAATCGCTTTTTAAAAAGAAAAAATCTTACCCGGTATGAGGGTGAGGGTGTGGATAAGGAAAGAGATGAAATAAGACTGGCCACTGGGGATAAATGTTGGAACTGGGCAGTGAGTTCATGGGGTGGGGGTGGGGGGCTCATTGCACTGAATCACTCTACTTCAGTATTTCTGACATTTTCCATTATGAAAAGATTTTTTAAAAAACTATACATGCATGTATATGTTGGAAACTACAAAAAATCCTATTTGTGGGGCACCTGGGTGGCTCAGCTAAGCACCTGCCTTCGGCTCAGGTCATGACCCTGGAGTCCCAGGATGGAGCCCCACGTCTGGCTCCCTGCTCAGTAGGGAGGCTGCGCCTCCCTCTCCCTCTGCCCCATCCCGCTTGTGTTCTCTCTCTCTCTCTCTCAAATAAATGAATAAAATCTTTAAAATATATATTTTAAAAGAATCCTACTTGCAAAGCATACAATAACCCATTAAATATTTCAAGGTTTAACCTTACAAAATATTTACATTTTTATAGCACTTGATACTTTGGTCAAGCACTTTCATATGTATTATATTTCATAATAGTTTAAAAGAAAATATCTTACAATCTGTGAAACAAAAGCATACTTCCTGTAGATTGTCATGGAAAGCTACTATTTCGGAGTGTGAAATCTGCACAAAGATTTCCATTGCTCAATCTTGAAATGATC